AAAATAGAAAGAAGTGAAGAGAAGGAAGAAGAGAGACGGAAAATAGAAAGAAGTGAAGGGAAGGAAGAAGAGAGACGGAAAATAGAAAGAAGTGAAGGGAAGGAAGAATAGAGACGGAAAATAGAAAGAAGTGAAGGAAAGGAAGAATAGAGACGTAAAATAGAAAGAAGTGAAGGGAAGGAAGAAGAGAGACGGAAAATAGAAAGAAGTAAAGGGAAGGAAGAAGAGAGACGGAAAATAGAAAGAATTGAAGGGAAGGAAGAATAGAGACGGAAAATAGAAAGAAGTGAAGGAAAGGAAGAATAGAAATGGAAAATAGAAAGAAGTGGTGAAGGGAAGGAAGAATATAGACGGAAAATAGAAAGAAATGAAGGAAAGGAAGAATAGAGACGTAAAATAGAAAGAAGTGAAGGGAAGGAAGAATAGAGAGGTAAAATAGAAAGAAAATCAAAGAATGAAGATAAAGGAAAGCAAGATAGAAAAATAGAAAGATAGAAGATTGGGATAAAAGGAGATGGAAGATAAGGAAGAATGATAAAGATGGTATGGAAGGAGAAAGAAAGGATAGAAGGAGATAGAATTATTAGAAGGAGATAGAATTGATAGAAGGAGAAAGAACGGATAGAACTAGATAGAAATAATAGAAGGAGATAGAATTATTAGAAGGAGATAGCATTGATGGAAGGAGAAAGAACGGATAGAACTAGATAGAAATAATAGAAGGAGATAGAATTATTAGAAGGAGATAGAATTGATGGAAGGAGAAAGCACGGATAGAAATAGATAGAAATAATCGAAGGAGATAGAATTATTAGAAGGAGATAGAATTGATGGAAGGAGAAAGAACGGATAGAATTAGATAGAAATAATAGAAGGAGATAGAATTATTAGAAGGAGATAGAATTGATGGAAGGAGAAAGCACGGATAGAAATAGATAGAAATAATAGAAGGAGATAGAATTATTAGAAGGAGATAGAATTGATGGAAGGAGAAAGAACGGATAGAACTAGATAGAAATAATAGAAGGAGATAGAATTGAAAGAATGGACAGAACTTGATAGAATTAATAGAAGAAGATAAAATTTATAGAAGGAGATAAAATTGATGGAAGGAGAAAGCACGGATAGAACTATATAGAATTAATAGAAGAAAATAGAATTAATAGAAGGAGATAGAATTAATAGAAGGAGATAGAATTGAATGGACGAGATAGAAGAGATAGAAAGAGATAGAAGGGATTGAACGAGATAGAAGAGATAGAAAGAGATAGTTGGGATTGAATGAGATAGAAGAGAAAGAAAGAGATAGAAGGGATTGAACGAGATAGAAGAGATAGAATGAGATACAATATATAGAAAAAAGATAGAATGGATAGAAGGAGATAGAAGGGATTGAACGAGATAGAAAGAGATAGAAGGGATTGAATGAAATAGAAGGGACTGAACGAGATAGAAGGAATTGAAAGAGATAAAAGTTATTGAAAGAGATAGAAGGGATAGAAAGAGATAGAAGAGATATAAAGGGATAGAAGAGATATAAAGAGATAGAAGGAATAGAAAGAGATAGAAAGAGATAAAAGAAATAGAAAGAGGTTGAAGAATAAAGACGGTTTAAGGAAGAGAAAAAGATTATATAATGGAAACGAGAGAGAGGAGATAGAAGGTTAGAACGGATAGGAAGAGAGAGAGAAGATAGAAGGTTAGAACGGATAGGAAGAGAGAGAGAGGAGATAGAAGGTTAGAACGGATAGGAAGAGAGAGAGAGGAGATAGAAGATTAGAACGGATAGGAAGAGAGAGAGGAGATAGAAGGTTAGAACGGATAGGAAGAGAGAGAGAGGAGATAGAAGGTTAGAACGGATAGGAAGAGAGAGAGGAGAGATAGNGAGAGAGAGGGAGAGAGTATAAGAGAATGCATGGGATGCTTGTAGCCTGCAGGCTGGCATGTGGAGGGTGTACACTGGATACTGGATGGTTAACATACTTTATAATTGATTTCAGCTTAGAAGGGGAAACTTCTGAAATCATCTCAAATTCAAACCAGGTTTCGAGAAAAGAGAGTATTGGTAAATCGTATTTTGTGACAGAAAAGCCTTGAGAAGATTTGTGAAACTAAGTTTAGTTTGAACTTGACCTAAAGTTTCTGACTCTGTGATCTAGTTTCTATAATATGATGGGTTTAATAATCTATATGTTCTCAATGATGTCAAATTGCAGAGGGGGGCTTATCAGTTTATCAGATATCGGTATAGAGGATCTTATTATTATTAGTTGTATATAAATATGTATATTTAAACATAGACCACACACATACATACATACACACACCCATACATACACACATACAACCGTATGCAGAACCCCCTCCCCCCCTAACTACTTTAATAAGATTTTAAATTGAATTTTTGATAAAAAGTATCTCGTTCTTATTCAACTTTATCAGAATATTCTAAAACCAAAATTTCGTAACTTTGTTTTTTTGTTGTAAACAGATTTTCATTCAAAATTTAAAAATAACTCCACAAGGAGTATTGAATAGAAGGGAGATACAACTGACGCAGCCCACCCTACCATATGATTATACATGCTTTGCAGACGGTACTCAATTTTGAATAAGAAATATTTGTCTGATGGTACAATTACCGCGTATACAATAACCTATTCTGAATATTTCTTATACATATGGAGTACCCGTCTGCAAACCATGTATAATAATATGGTAGGGCGAGCCGCGTCAGTTATAACTCCCTTCTATTCAATACTCCTTGTGGAGTTATTAGGGATGTCTCAATAACATGGAAATTAAAAGACGACTTTAAATGGTATCAGAATTTGTGACAATGCTATTGAACAAAGTTTGTAGAATGTAGGTATTACAGGCTTTCAAAAATAAGCTTGTTTATTTTCGTAGCTTTAAAGTTGACGGAGAAATTTTATGTAGATTAATTTAATTCCTATTTCATATCCCGGGATGGTCATACCATGATGGTCTTGCGATCCAATTTTAGATTTGTTGATTTCTCAACACAATAGTTCTGACTTCTTAGTTTCTCTAGGGCCGGTAAAATGCAGATGACAAAATCCCAATACCAGAAATTGTTGAAGGCGCTGAACTGGTAAAAACGCCATTAGACAAGAAAAAAAAAATCCACGTGGAATTCAGCTGGATTGACCGAATATATAATTTAGCTTGATTGACAAAATATCTATTTTTTTCGGTTTTATTTAATAAATTAGAGAAAATAAATGATTTTTACAAGAAAATCAATGAATCTTTGGGTTAAACTTATCAAAAAGACTGGAAATATTTGACTTTTGAATGTTAAATTGATCTTCAGTTCGTATGTGTAAAATTAATATTAATTATGAAGAAAAAATTATCCCAAATGAATTGGTGACAACAAATTGTTAATAAGGAATAAACCGGAAGACTAATAAAAACGGCAAAAAATAATCACTTTTAATCTTAATTTATTTATACATCTCCTAACAATATTCAATGCAAGGCAAACAAAGCAAATGCGACTATAATTTGAACAATATGGAATCCTCCATCAGAATCAATGAGAAGCCATTTTCTGCGCTAACTGGGCAAATCTAAACAAATATCCATCAAATAGTGCAAGACGGTAGGAAAGTACAAGACGGTTCAGGAAAGTACAAGACGGTTCAGAAAGTACAAGACGGTTCAGGAAAGTACAAGACGGTTCCAGAAAGTACAAGACGGTTCCAGAAAGTACAAGACGGTTCAGGAAAGTACAAGACGGTTCAGGAAAGTACAAGAGGTTTCAGGAAAGTACAAGACGGTTCAGGAAAGTACAAGACGGTTCAGGAAAGTACAAGACGGTTCAGGAAAGTAAAAGACGGTTCAGGAAAGTACAAGACGGTTCAGGAAAGTACTAGACGGTTCAGGAAAGTACAAGACAGTTCAGGAAAGTACAAGACAGTTCCGGAAAGTACAAGACGGTTCAGGAAAGTACAAGACGGTTCAGGAAAGTACAAGAAG